CAGGGAACATCCACATCTTATGTGATAGCTCAGGAGTTACCGGTCGCCTAAAACGGCATTTGCTGGAGTTCCGCTACGATGTAACCATAAATGGTTACAATCCAGGGTAACTGCCGAGACACACGCAGTCTGGTCTAAATGTAAAGCTTTCAAATTGCGCAAGACGCAAAATTGCAGTAAGTGATTGAGTTACACGTATAATGCACGGAAAAGTGACGAGCCCAAAACTTTTGTCTATACCCCAATTCAATGAACATCCGAGTGTTAGTCGAAACAATTACTGTTAGACATGATGGAGAATTCTGTAGGCCAACAGAGAGCCCTCAGTTGGAGTTTGATGTGTCCAACGGTGCGTCAATGGGCCGAAATAGTTTATCAGGAAAGGGTCGCTCGGAAGATGAACTGTGGCTGGTGGATGTTGGAACTTGGCTGCAGCAAGCAGCTTTGAATGTTCATTTACACCATGACATTTTATGCACCATTAGACGCAAATCCCGAGCAGCTCGATTTGATTCAGCTACCCAAATAAAACTGCGCGAGAGATGTTGGCGCTTTGACGTTCAAAATATGTTGCGCCTGATTTACAATGGAACGCCTAATTACGGAAGAGTCATCCGTTATCCCAGAGGCCCAGATTTAGGACCAGATGTCCGCTGCGTTCAACGGGTTCCTCCAGGTCACAACGATGCCAACATCCTTGTCCTGACGGACTCGCTGGTGCGTTGGGAAAGCGTCTGATTTCATATGCTTTTCCGGGCATACATGCATGATGTAGGCTCACGCTCCGCCAAAGTCATACTCCGAGCGTTGGGGCCACTCATAACCAATGGGGAGTGTGTGGTCCGCCTGTGTAGAAATAAATACAGTTTACAGTAAACACGCAACAGAACGTAGGTGGATTTTGCCTGAGATAGGATGTGATATGTAGAGAGTCGTAGGTAGCTGTTAGGCCTCAAAGAGTCCGAATGGTTGTCATCCTGAAAGGCCTAATTTGGTTTGCATTTAATGAGTCTTACGTTCATGGCGAATAACTTTTGACGTGACCAACCAGGAATATCAATCCTGGAGACCTGAAAGTCTTCACGCATCCTCACCTATTGGATTCTTCAATGCACTTGGGTAGAACTATGGTGGACGCATTGACAGCTTGGTTGCATTAATGAAGATGTTTAACAGTGTCTTGTTGAAAGGGTCGTCCCAAAATGCTGACATCAGAACCCGACTGCTTAACAGAATTGAACAGAATGCCAAATTGACGTTACAGAGCCTCACCACCTTATGTCAACTCCTCATCAACCTGAAACATGCCACATTCATGATCGGCCAGTCACCTTTGACTGCAAGCGCTGTGGACGGGCAATCAATCCCAGCGCGCGTAAGAAATCTGACAACAGAAAACTGAGGAAGCTTCTCACAAGTTTGTGTGCGATTTCGGGATGGTCTGTTGGTTAGTGCGCGAATTTAATGACCGGAAAGATCCGTGGTTTGAACAAGACCGCCGATTCTCGATTTCCTGTCTAGGCTTGGGCAACCTGGTAGTAGACCAGCCCTTGTGTTTCCTTTGGGTGGCATGGCACTTGGGCACTGAAAGGCACTCACAGCTGTATACGCTTCACACGTACATTATGATCTCTTTAGCTGCTGCATTCTCCGCCCCAACATGCTGCGTTGAGACGCATAAAGCTAGTGTTCGTTTTGAATATACAATTTACAGGATAGTTTCAAATGATTATAGGAGTTTATTGACCAGTTCCAATTCAAACGGGTGTACGTGAAGTTTGAGCCTCGCACCCTTTATTTGCTCACTTCTTGAGTTTAGGCTGCTGGGCCAAATAAAGCTCAGGTTCGCCGATCATTTTGAGTCCAGAACGATCAGCCGAATTGTCCTGTGAACTCCATAACCGTCCGGATCTTACACCTGTTTTGTCTCGCATTACAGAACATATTTAGTAAACTATTACTACACTTATATTCAGGCAAGTATTCCAGTCACTTCACACCCAACTGGCTGTCTAGCTCCCGCTAAGGCAGCTCATCAGCGTCACCCATTGAAATCCATGACCGAATTCAGAAGCAGCTCTGTCCTTCTAGAACCCAAATTAAAGCACTATTAGGCATTTATTTATGCGAATCCTCGCGCTGGCAAGAATAGTGCCCCGCGCTGAGAACATAAAGAGCAGTGCTACACCTTTTCCCACTTGTGCCTTTCAGGTGAACGACAGCCATTGACCGACAAGAACAAAACAGACCCGGGAAACTTGGGCAAAAGCCTCGATCCTGTGTGTCAATCCATGAATCCGCGAATCCGTGAAATCCAGTAGTGAATAGATGAAGTTGTGAAATAAGATAGACATGTCTTCCACAGTTTTATGGAATCCTGGAGAGCAGGTTCCCTATAATGTAGCCACAGGGGCCTGATAATCCATGCTACGCTAGTTTGTGCCTGGTTGTCGCCCGAATAACTAAGCTTTCAAAGTAGTCAATATCGACCGACTCTATCCCACTGAAAACAGGTTGGCCGATTATTTTGAGTCCAAACGTTCCGGTTTCCTCTTGACAAGAAGCACCTGTGTCCTTCATTGCTCTCTGGGTACATCGGATGACCAGAAGTTCCCAGAGTATTCACCGCCTGTCTGCCAAACGTATTGACTGCGTCGACTGACACAAAACCGTTGGTTATTCTCTCCTTCCTTCAGACTGTGATTCTAAGGAGATTTCGTCTGATGAAAAGATCATGCACTGCCTACACAAAATGCAGGTGATGAGCCTTGCGGAGACAAAATCTTTCAGTTTCCGAAACCTGATTAATTCTCTCAGACGCATTTGGCCGACCGGTTGATTTGCTTTTAACGTTGAAAGGCAATCCACACAGGGAATGGTCTCCCGAAACCAATTAGATATTGAGGCGCGTTCGGATTAATTCATCGCGCCACCGTGATATTGATGAACTTGACCAATGAACTCAGATAACAAACCTTCATTCCCCCATAATAAATCTTATAAATTGCGCCATGATAGCTGCTCGAATTAGACGCACGTCAAAATACCTTTCTGATGAGTATCACCGGATTGTCTTTGACGCTGTTGTATATAGCTAGTTATGTGACGGCCGAAAATCATCGTGAGTCTACTCTTGATATCGCAAATTATACGGTTCTCAAAACGCGCTAGCAAGCTGCGTGTTCCACAGCGAAATGCGTTGAGTCGTAGAGTGTCTGTGCGTATAAAGTGTGTTCGGGTATACGCAGCGGTGTCTTGCATTCACATTGTTTCGTGATTGCTTCCTCTTG